TTGTGTTTTATAGGGAATTTGGTGTTTGTAAGAAAATCAATGCGAAGATGAGGTTTTACATTCATTTTGATACCTCGGAGAATTTTGGAAGTAAGCTAAGCGAGTCAAGGATAGAGTCGGAAGCCGTAGAACAGAAAATTCAGAAAAGATATGTTTTACTGATAGGTAAAGCTATGTGCCACCGGTAGAAAGGCTCTCTGGAATAAGTAGAATGCTGCTCTACTGGTAGGCGGACTTGTGTTCTACCGGTAGAAGAGGTCACTAGAATTTGACAAAATAAGGTTCTAATGGTAGATGATTTATTTCCTAGTAGGTCATTCAATGTGAAGGTTCTACTAATAGGTATTTAATATTCTACCAGTGGGTCGACCACATATTTTGGTGCGGACTCCTTTTACTAGGCATTGACTGATTGAATATTCAAAAATAACTTCCAAGATCTTCTAAGGCTTTATTGGAGGAAAAATAGACAAATTAGGAAAGGAATTTTTGGCTAAATCTTAGAGATGTTGTAAGAGATATTTTCAGAGATGTTTTAGGAATAAGAGATAGACATAAAGGAAAGATGATCTCTAGAAAATCAACTGTATCTCTCTCTCTCTCCCCCCGTTTTTCCTATAAATACCCAACCCGTAAGGGATTTTTAGAGACACCATTTCCCTTCCGAGGACTCCTCCAAGGGCTGTTATTCTACCTTCTTCTTCATTGTTCTTCACTTAGGTTTAAATTTCAAATACAAGATTCTTTTATTTCTTTTAATGCAATTGCTTTCAATCCTTGTTTTAAATACAAAGTATTGAATTTAATTTCGCTTTCAAAATCAATTTCGTTCTTTTTAATTATTATGCCTTTCATTCTTACTTTTAATTTAATTTACTTTATGTTTGAGTTGTCTAATTCCGGATAATCGGAGGAGGGATTCCCAATCTATAAAGTAGAGTTTATACTCTAAATTAGGATTTTTACAATGTATATTATTTAATGATTTAATAGTTATTTTTGGGAAACTAAATTTATTGGCCATATCCATTAGTACCTGTAGACAATTGGTTTGCGTATGGATAATTATTGGAGTTCTTGCAATCAATTGGATACAAATTCTTCCATCAATTTATTTGTCACCAAAATCGCTATTTTTACTAATTACAGTTTTTATTGAATATCATCCATCTAAGGGAGTTTGACTATGAACTTGAATGAGTTATAAATTTAGAGTGTAAATTTATGTTTATGGGTGGGATGAAATCCAAAAATTGTTTGTTTCTTTTTTTATTGAATTTATCCTTAACTTAGTTAATTATCACAATTCTCAACTTTCAAAGAACTCTTTATTTTTATTTTTTTTACATCACCATTCGAATTTGTCCTTCATTTTTCTTGAGGAAACGACCTCGATTATTGGCCAAGTTCCTAAATGATATATATTCATGTGCTTGGAAACCATATTTATTTTACCTACTTTTGAGGTCAAACAAGGACCACTCGAGTGCTAGGCAAGCGCCGCTCAATTTTGTTTTTTGCTCAATTCTATTTTAATAGGAGTCCTTAGAGCATGAGGCCAACACCAAGAGGGCAGTACCTACTAGTTTTCCTCAACAAAACTAATTTTTAATTCACCTTTTGAGTACCAAAGGGTGTTTACCCAACAAGGCTACAGACCATGACTCTTATAGTGTTAAAAAAATTCTTTTTCAAGTCTTAAAAACATTTTTAAACGATAGGAAAGTCATGCTACGGATTCAAAAAAAATCCTAAATCCGATCTTAAACTAAGGTCTTAATCAATCTAGGCTTATCTCACCTAGACAGTTTGGAATTGCAAAGTTGATATCGAATGTAGCAATGTAGAATTCATCTTATTCTTCATAACCCAATTTTGGTCTTCATCTTGTAAGTATCATTACCATAGGACTTAGCTAAGATCTGTTAGAATGACTCACGAAAATCGCCAATTACATTATTTTCCTAATTTATATATTCAAATATATGTGTATATCTAGTTAAAACTAGATTTTGGGAAATTTAAAGATCTAGGGTTTAATTTTCCGGTTAAATATATAGATTTTTGGGAATTCTTGTTGAGAAATTGAGCATCCGATTCCAAGGTTTAACTTTTCAATCTTTCGTTGAGAAATTCATCTCGGATTTTACTAGAGTTCGTCTTCAATAGTCGCAAGCTTCTACCGAGCCTAGCTTGAGCCAAACAAGAATCCAAACTCGCAAGCCTAGCTTGAGCCAAATTTGATCAAACCAGTCATGGCCAAGTCGAATATGAGCATACTCAAGTTTGACATGCTCAACTTGATAATAGCCCTAACCAAAAGCTGGATTAGAGAGAGAGAGATGTATCAACAAAGAAAGAGGTCAAAAAGAATTCTATTTCTACATCCATCTTTAATAGGCAAAGATTTACCGAATTAGCTTAATGTTTTTATGAGGTAAAAATTCATACATTATTCCTCTTAGTGAAACTATTTGTATCAATACCAACTCCGTTACAATACTCATTCGGAGAAACTGCAAGAAAATGAACTACAGACATTCCAAAAACTTAACGAATTAAAATTAACCACACCACTCTCTCAAGGAAAACCACTATTTTGTCATCCAACCAATACTATTGAAATAAGCATATGGAGGTCAGTGCTTCTAAAAAAAAATTAAATAGGTCAAGCACCAAGAGAGAGAAAAGATGGCGAGAGCAAGCTAGCTAAGATGTTGGAAGCAAGATATAAAAGGCCAGGCAGTGTATGAGACTGGAACCATGACAATGAAAAATGCAGGAAAAAAAAGAGGATCAAGGAGATTAGTTTGATTTAGCTATCTAGAAAAAGAGAACATGAGAGTACCCTTGGCTAACATATGTATATATTCACTGGATTTTATTATGGAATGTATGCTGTTACTAATTTTTGAGACAAAAAAAACTTTTGACTTCAGGAAGAATGATAATTGGATTTAGGAAGTGAGGTAAAGCAGCAAAGACTCTGTTAAGAAATAACTTAAAGGAGATGTCCTCACAAGGACCCGATTTTCTGCATATTATTGGCCACAGATAGTAGTTTTAGTTCCCAAGATCATCATTCAGTTATAACTGTTAGGTGACAAAAAAATATAGGCTCAATCACTCACATCACAAAAGAAGACCAAACAAAGAAAATAATAATAAAGCAATACAACTTAAGGAAGTCAGGGTGCACCCTCACGGAGCTTATTTGATCCATTATTGCCTGAGAACGCAAAGCCAAATCTTCACTAAATTCCTGCACCACATAGCATGAGCGTAAAGAGCGAGGGAGGGATGAAGCTTAATCTACCATCATATGCCTGGCACAAGACCTTACCTGAAATCCAATATGCAACCTCTTTCCACCCTTATGGTAAGGGATAATGACAGGGCGATTGTTGATGTACTCTTTGCAGGTAAGTGGTTCTATTCTGTTTGGAAAAAAAACATAGCTTCATGTGAGGTGAGACAGACTAACAGCCCAAGAAATATGGAAAACCATGAATTACCAGGAGCTATATGCATGTGTGCGCATACGTGCAAGTACAATTATGTGTATCATCTGTGTGTGAGAGAGAGTGAGAGAGAGGTATATAATATCCTTTTTCTAGAAGTATATTTCACTTAACAGAAACTATTATCTTCAAAATAAAGCCTTGCCAAACAATTTTGACTCCGATTTAGATGACCTAAATGGAGGTTCAGAAGCATGGATCAACACATACGTCTTCTAAGGAAACCCTTGCAAAATATAAAAATTAAAACAGGAGACACAGAGATCAGGTTGGATTTATGAATAGGTGGGATGAAGAAATAAGCCATTATTAGCACCCCTGCATTCTGAATGAAATTGATACCCGTCCAGAAAACACAGGACTTACATAATATGTAGATTTGGGTTGTCATGAAAGGTCATCAGATTTGTTGGTATATGAGGCATGTTGTTCCCTCCGTTTTGTAATTATACGTTCTTTCTACACAGTGAATATTGGAAAGCATGGACAGCTCATTGAAGTCAATAAACCCATGTCCAAACTACCCAGGTTCGTTACATGAATCTTGTCCCTAATCGGCCATTTGTAGAGCCATATCCTCTGTTAAATCCAGCAAACCTATATTCTTTTCTCAAGGCCCAAGCTACATTCTTTTTGATCTTCGACTTGTTCTTCTAGTACCATCTAGTTAGATCAGATCACTCCTCCATAAGGGTTGCATTAATTGGCCTATGTGGCTCATGGCCAAACCGCTTGAAATGAATTTCACTATCACTTCCATATTACTCAGTCAATACAACTGCTAACTTCCCAGGAATGCATTCCTACTATTCCATTTTCTTGAAATGCTATTTTTGACCTCATTTCAATTAACTTATTTTTAACATGTTTTTTTATTTCCCTTCATTGCTGTACTATAAAGCATATTTAGCTTTATAGCTTTCTCATATAACTTGTCTTTTAATGTATCACACAACAATCCTAAAGCACTTCTCCACTTAATCCATTTGCTCTAGTTTTGTGGACAACATCCACCTCAATATCCTCCCATTCCTTGTCAATACTCAATCCAGAAATAAAAAATGGTCTCTCTTAAGCATCTCTTTGCCACGAGTTTCACTTCACAATTTTCCTAATAATTTACCGGAAGTAACACTCTACATCTTTTCTTAGTTTGACACCTAAAACCTTCAAATTCTAGAGTATCTCTCAAATAATGGTAAATTTGGATCAACACCGATTCTACTTTCTGTTGTTAATGATATTGTCATTTACAAATGTTGAGAGTATTATTATTATTATATTTTATATAGTTGTATTAAGTTTTGTTGGAGATATAACAGCATTCTAGTTTATTAGGGTTTTATTAAGTTTTCCTTTTTTACCTTTTTGTCCTTATTGTAACTCTCATTGACTATATATACGGGGGCTCTACACTTAGTTTGTATCCCATTTTACTCAAGATTATTTCAAGTTGGTATCAGAGCCAAAACCCTAACCTCAGCCCCTCCTCCACGTCACAGCCACCCACCGCCTGAACTGCCAGCAGTGATACCACCGACTGCCCACTCCACCGACACAGCAACCAGCAACCCACACCGACAAACACACTGTCCAGTCCACTGACACAGCAGCCAATAATCCACATCCCACAACTCCACTGCCCAGAAACCTCAATCCAACCGACAACCAACAGCCTGCAACAAACATTAAACCCACTGCCCAGAAACTTCACAAAACCCAGCAACATACAAGAACCGAAATAGTCCAAATCACCTACTGCCCAAACCATCAAACCAGCACCTACTGCCCAGATTGCCCAATAACACCGACTGCTCTGAACCCACCAACAGTCCCAATCCAAACAAGCAGCAACCCAAATCTCAATCCTTACCAGTCCTCACCTGCAAAACCGAATACCCACCTAGACCGACAAATCCTAGCGAAACCAAATACCCACCACCGACAACAAACAAATACCCCTACTTTGAAACACTCCCCAATTGCTCAGACCAGCCGACAAACATATACACCGAAACCCATACACAACCANCCGCGAAACCGAATACCCACCTGGACCGACAAATCCTAGCGAAACCAAATACCCACCACCGACAACAAACAAATACCCCTACTTTGAAACACTCCCCAATTGCTCAGACCAGCCGACAAACATATACACCGAAACCCATACACAACCATATACACCGAGACCCAATACCATATACCCACTGAAACCAAGCCGACTGGCCATATATAGTCTGTCCAGCGCCCTTTACCCATTCTCCATATAATAATAATAATAGATCCAACCCAATAAAACCACTCCTACTGCTGGATCACTGTCCAGGCCACTGTTGGGTCACAATTTTCATTGTGATTTTGTTCTAGGACTTTTTTGGGAGGGAGCGGATTCTCTTTTCTATTGATCTGCCCTTGATGCAGTAGATCACTTATTTATATATTTTGGATTTCTGGGCACCGTGACCTGATTATTTGGGAGTTTTTTGGACCTTCTTTATTTGTCGCTACTGTTCGACTGAAGGTATATTGTTCTCCCTTATTTTATTCCTCTATTTATCTTAGAGTTGTTTTTCTGTCACGGGTGACCTAGTATTGTTGTTGATATGGCTATTACTGAGGGACTTGAGAACCCTACTGTTGACACCTCTACCGTTAAGACATCTATGGGTACTTTCACTTTTATGTTTGACCAGTATACAGTACCTACTAGCACAGTTGCATTACCAGCACTACCGGGCATGATCTTTCAAAANGACCTAGTATTGTTGTTGATATGGCTATTACTGAGGGACTTGAGAACCCTACTGTTGACACCTCTACCGTTGAGACATCTATGGGTACTTTCACTTTTATGTTTGACCAGTATACAGTACCTACTAGCACAGTTGCATTACCAGCACTACCGGGCATGATCTTTCAAAAAGTTACGGCATAGTTGTTGAATGGTCGTAACTTTGCTGAGTGGTCTCGCTTATTCCAGCTTTTCTTAGGCCGTATAGGGAAGCTTGGTTGGCTGACGGGATTTCACCCAAAGCCAGCTGATGCCGACCCTGGATATTCTGCGTGGTTCTCTGAGAACTGCGTCATTCTTGGATGGTTATTTGGCTCGATGGAGCCATCTGTTTGCAGGATCCACCAGTTTCATAGCTCNGAAAGCTTGGTTGGCTGACGGGATTTCACCCAAAGCCAACTGATGCCGACCCTGGATATTCTGCGTGGTTCTCTGAGAACTGCGCCATTCTTGGATGGTTATTTGACTCGATTGAGCCATCTGTTTGTAGGATCCACCAGTTTCGTAACTCTGTTCCGAAGCTATGGAGCGCATTATCAGAGATGTATTCTCAGTCAAGATGGGGAGTTCGTGTTTATGAGCTTTCTCAGGAGCTCTCATATGCTCGGCAGGGAGATATGACCGTTCAGGATTATTATGGCTATTTGACCCAGCGCTGGCTTGAGTATGAGTCTCTACGTCCTCTTGCTGCTATTCCGAAGATAGAGCCCGAGGGAGCAGCATTCTTGCATACTCGAGAGCAGGAGGATAGGATTCACAAGTTCCTTATGGGGCTTTGTGATGAGTTTGAGGGACCTCGTTCTCAGATCTTGTCGATGTTGACACTTCCTTCTCTTTATAAGGTATATGGGATGATTGAGCAGCATGAGCGTCGAGTCCGTGTTGCATCACTTCTAGTTGCGGCTTTGACTCCTTCGGCTGACCAGATGGCCCTTGTAGTTGCTGCAGGGACTCATTCAGGATCCTCAGTCAGGGGTGGGCAGCGCTCAGATCAGCGACGTCAGGGTGCCCCAGATCAGCGCAGACAGGGGAATTCCCGTCACTGTCATTATTGTGGCCGATCAGGACATCTCAGGGCTACTTGCTGGAAGCTCCATCCAGNCCAAAGATAGAGCCCGAGGGAGCAGCATTCTTGCATACTCGAGAGCAGGAAGATAGGATTCANGCACCTGCTTTGTCTTCTTCTTTTCCCAGCTTGCATGCTAGTATTTTACTTAATAGTTGTCGTTATGATTTTTCATCACAAGCTGTTCAATTGTGGCATAACCGTTTTGGACATACACATTTTAAATATTTATGTATGTTGTTTCCTGTTTTGAGCAATGCTTGTGTTGGTGATAAACTTGACTGTGTTATATGTTCCCTATCGAAACATGTTAGAGCCAGTTATATTCCTCGCATGCACCAGTCACCTAAGCCATTTTACCTAATACACTTTGATATTTGGGAACCCTCTCCCATTACTGCTTTATCAGGTGCCCGATATTATGTGACATTTATAGATGACCATACCCGTTGTACTTGGGTCTACCTTTTGCATAGAAAGTCNGTAGTCGTACTATTTCTATTGCTGAGGTACCACCACCCACTACCGCTACTCTTGCTGTTGCTGCTGCTGCTGCTCCACCTTGGTAGAGTGATATGGATGCTATCACTTCCCGATTAGNAAAGCTTAAGCCGCCTCCTCGTAGTCGTACTGTTTCTATTGCTGAGGTACCACCACCCACTACCGTTACTCTTGCTGTTGCTACTACTGCTGCTCCACCTTGGTAGAGTGATATGGATGCTATCACTTCCCGATTAGATATACTTATGTCTGCTCTGACTTCTCAGAGTCTGACTACTACTGCTGTCACCACTACAAGTATACCTCGTGCCTTTCACGCTTGTGCCAGTTCATCTCCCCTTTGGATGTTGGACTCGGGTGCAAATGGTCACATGACAGGTGAGGCCCATCACTTCACCACTTTTGACGAGCAGTTACATACACAGGTTCAGTTAGCAGATGGGACACATGCCCCTATTGTTACTAGGGGCACAGTCCGCCTCTTAGATGACCTTACATTACGTTCGATTTTTTATGCGCCAAAGTTAGCCATGAATCTATTATCTGTACATCAATTAACCAGAGATTTTTACTGTGCGATTGTATTCTTATCTGATTCGTGTTATTTGCAAGACCTGAGTACCATGAGGATTATTATCAGGGGACATGAGAAAGATGGACTGTATTATCTTGGCAATCCACCTCCAGTTTCACCAATTCCTCCCCCTACATCACCTGCACCTGCTTTGTCTTCTTCTTTTCCCAGCTTGCATGCTAGTATTTTACTTAATAGTTGTCGTTATGATTTTTCATCACAAGCTATTCAATTGTGGCATAACCGTTTTGGACATACACATTTTAAATATTTATGTATGTTGTTTCCTGTTTTGAGCAATGCTTGTGTTGGTGATAAACTTGACTGTGTTATATGTTCCCTATCGAAACATGTTAGAGCCAGTTATATTCCTCGCATGCACCAGTCACCTAAGCCATTTTACCTAATACACTTTGATATTTGGGAACCCTCTCCCATTACTGCTTTATCAGGTGTCCGATATTATGTGACATTTATAGATGACCATACCCGTTGTACTTGGGTNACTAGGGGCACAGTCCGCCTCTTAGATGACCTTACATTACGTTCGATTTTTTATGCGCCAAAGTTAGCCATGAATCTATTATCTGTACATCAGTTAGCCAGAGATTTTTACTGTGCGGTTGTATTCTTATCTGATTCGTGTTATTTGCAAGACCTGAGTACCAGGAGGATTATTATCAGGGGACATGAGAAAGATGGACTGTATTATCTTGGCAATCCACCTCCAGTTTCACCAATTCCTCCCCCTACATCACCTGCACCTGCTTTGTCTTCTTCTTTTCCNAATTAACCAGAGATTTTTACTGTGCGATTGTATTCTTATCTGATTCGTGTTATTTGCAAGACCTGAGTACCATGAGGATTATTATCAGGGGACATGAGAAAGATGGACTGTATTATCTTGGCAATCCACCTCCAGTTTCACCAATTCCTCCCCCTACATCACCTGCACCTGCTTTGTCTTCTTCTTTTCCCAGCTTGCATGCTAGTATTTTACTTAATAGTTGTCGTTATGATTTTTCATCACAAGCTATTCAATTGTGGCATAACCGTTTTGGACATACACATTTTAAATATTTATGTATGTTGTTTCCTGTTTTGAGCAATGCTTGTGTTGGTGATAAACTTGACTGTGTTATATGTTCCCTATCGAAACATGTTAGAGCCAGTTATATTCCTCGCATGCACCAGTCACCTAAGCCATTTGACCTAATACACTTTGATATTTGAGAACCCTCTCCCATTACTGCTTTATCAGGTGTCCGATATTATGTGACATTTATAGATGACCATACCCGTTGTACTTGGGTCTACCTTTTGCATAGAAAGTCTGATGTACTTCCTATAATTGCTCAGTTTTTACAGATGATTAAGACACAATTCGATGTCATTGTTCGTGCTCTTCGTTCGGATAATGCCAAAGAATATGTGTCTGATGCTTTAGTGTCTCACCTTTCTTCTCAGGGTATCCTTCAGCAACTCACTTGTCCATATACTCCTGAGCAAAATGGTGTTGCTGAGAGGAAAAATAGGAGTTTGATAGGGATGGTACGTTGTCTGCTTAGAGGCATGAGGGTACCAAAATCTTATTGGCATTTTGCTGTTTTGACTTCTACCTTTCTGTGCAATCGTACGCCGAGTCGTGTTCTTCAGCATAAGGCTCCCTTACAGGTCTTATTTCCTGAGCGGACACTTTTTCCGGTCCCCCCTCGTGTTTTTGGATGCACATGTTTTGTTC